AATGTCAACAAAACAGCTGCAACTGTTTTTTTTTTTTTTTTTTTTGCAATTACAGAGTGGTATTCAGTTAACAGAACAGTAATTATTTTATATAAGCTGTATCAGAGACAACTGAAGATGAAAAAACTACCATCCTCATATAAAACTAATTTGTGCTGTGCACTAACAAGAATCTGCTTTAAATTTCCATGCCAATTTACAGCCCCCATACTGTATCAGGCAAGGTTAGCGGCTATTGAAAATACCACCAGGACAGGGCTATCTAAAGACACATTCGGTAGTGGTTAACTATACAAAAAAAGACAGCGTGCAGTTTAAAAACAAATGTTACACAGTCTTGCATTTAAGTTTTTTTCTTTAAAGGGAGTGAGTTGTGTACAGGTGGCGTAAATGCTTTGTAGATAAGAAAAAAATTGCGCTAGAACCAACTTATTCATCATCATCTTCTTCATCTTCATCTTCTTCCTCTTCCTTCTTTTTCTTGCTTTTCTCAGCCTTGACAACTCCATTTTTTGCTGAATTAGGCTTTCCTTTAGCTCGATATGCAGCAATATCCTTTTTGTATTTTTCCTTCAGCTTTGCAGCCACCTTTTTATAAAGCTGCTTGTCAGTTATAGCAGTGTTATTCCACATCTCTGCCAGTTTCTTCACAACATCATCAATGGACAGGCCAGGATGTTCTCTTTTGATTTTTGGGCGATTCTTAGAGCAGAACACGAAAAAGGCCAAAGGAGGACGCCTGGGTGCACTGGGATCCTTGAACTTTTTTTTCTCCCCTTTAGGAGGGATACAGGTTTTCATTTCTCTTTCATAGCGGGCCTTGTCCGCCTTTGCCATATCTTCAAATTTCCTCTCTTTAGCAAAAATGGTCTTCCACATCTCTGAGCACTTCTTAACAAATTCTGAGAAGTTGACTGAAGCATCTGGGTTCTTCTTCTCATGCTCCTCCTGACAAGTTTGCACAAAAAATGTATATGATGACATTTCGCCTCTCAGCTTCTTAGGATCTCCTTTGCCCATGTTTAGTTATTTTTCCTCAGCAAGGTACAGAGTCGCCTAGTGCCCGTCCAGCTCTCATTTGCCCCAGCACTGTCTCTATGGAGCTCAATGTACTGCAATCCCTTGTAGGTTTTTTGACCTTGTGTTAAGTAATGTCCCTTCCTGACAGGCCCAGAAACTTTGAGGTATTTGGGAGACTTCAAGAAAGGAGGAATTTACCCAATTCTTACAAGTCGTACAGGCACGATCTGATGATAAATCCTTGACTTGGCTTTCTATCCTGAAGAAGCTTTTAAAAGTTTAATCTAGGCTGGGTGCAGTGGCTCAGGCCTGTAATCCTAGCACTTTGGGAGGCCGAGGCGGGTGGATCATGAGGTCAGGAGAATGAGACCATCCTGGCTAACACGGTGAAACCCCGTCTCTACTAAAAATACGAAAAAAATTAGCCGGGAGTGGTGGCAGGTGCCTGTAGTCCCAGCTACTCGGGAGGCTGAGGCAGGAGAATGGCTTGAACCCAGGACGCAGAGCTTGCAGTGAGCAAAGATTGTGCAACTGCACTCCAGCCTGGGTGATGGAGCACGACTCCATCTCAAAAAAAAAAAAAAAAAAAAAGGTCTAATCTAAAATGTCTAATGAAAAAAAGGAGCCTATATGGACAATCACTATTCTTGTTGCCTTTTACATAAATAATCAGGTCAAACACAACAAGGCTAAAACTTATATTGCAAATAAAATTGGCCTATGATTTTTCTTTGGGAGAAAAGGGAGATTGAAGAGAGAAAAATTATCTTTCAGAAGAAAATTATAGCGTAGTTGTTACTAGATTCTAGTCCGGACCATTGTTTTTGAGTTTCAAAAATTACTATTTACTTGCAATTTGGACTTAATTATTTCCTGGCTATAATAAGTCTCTAAAGCAGAACCTGGATTTAATTTTCTTTCTTAGTTGGCTCCCTAATGGAATAGGGTTTTTTTCCCCCCCACTCTAGTATACAAATTCTCTTTTTGATTATAATTTTTGTGTGCATTATATTTCTACTATTCAAATTATTGATGCTATGAATCTTTCATTGTTTTACTTCTTCCAAGAAAAGTAAAATTATGAAATTCTGAAGACTAGAAATGATTCAGCAAGCGACAGCAACTATAAGTTGATGACTTGTTCATTTGGTTACTCTTAGGACTAATTTCTGTATTCTATTGCGATTTTCAGGTTGTTGTGATTATAATATTAGGTTGGTGCAAAAAAGTAATTGCGGTTTTCACCATTACTTCTGGTGGTAAAAACTGCAACTTCTTTTTTTGTGCCAACCCAATAATAAACATAGTTTATTTTCTTGGCTATTAAGTCACTCATGATTTGCATTTCTGCTTGCTTTAGATCAATGGCTAAGGCCAAAATACTGATTTCCCAGTGAGATGATTTATCATTTGGGAGAATAGCATGTAGCCTTGTGTTATGACCTACCTCATGTTGTCAGCAAACTGGCCTGGCTGCAGTAACAAGGTTTTTTTCCCCACCGAGGGACATGACTCCCCGGAATAAGCCTTCCCATTGACAAGGAATGAAGAACATCTATCCCCCTAACCTAGCAGATTGATCAGCAGTGCTTCCATGGGAAGATTTTTTTTTTTTTTAATCAAAAGGGGAATGTGATAATCTACAGGTCACATTTGGCAGTTTAGTTTAAAAGTAAACAGGCTTTCCAATTAACCCACCTTAGGAAGGTCTTGTGATTCATGGTGAAATCTTGCCCCTAAATCTTATCATGAGTCTCTCAAACTGTTGACACAGTGATTAATGCATAACCCAGTGACGCTGAAAAGGACACTGACTTATTTCTGAATCTTAGAGTTTTACTGCTTGTCTTACATGGAGACATTTAAGCCTGTATGTTGCGATCTATATCCAATAATTGTAACTTCTGTATTGTACCCTTCAATGAGAAAGGAAAGCTCTGGTGTGAGGAGTCCCTCTCCCTTCTCCTAACCTCTTCTACAAAACAGGGGTTTCCAGCTCCTGGGGTAAGGACCCGTACCAATCCATGGCCTTTAAGGAAATGGGCCACGCAGCAGAAGGTTAGTGGTGGGTGAGTGAGTGATGCTTCATCTGCATTTACAGCAGCTCCCCATTGCTCGCATTGCTGCCTGAGCTCCGCCTCCTGTCAGATCAGCAGCAGCATTAAATTCTCATAGGAGCACAAACCCTATTGTAAACTCCACATGCAAGGGATCTAGGTTGTGTGCTTCTTTTGAGAATCTAATGCCTGATGATCTGTCCCTGTCTCCCATCACCCCTAGATGGGAACGTTTAGTTGCAGAAAAACAAGCTCAGGGTTCCCACTGATTCTATTTGATGGTGAGTGGTATAATTATTTCATTATTTCATTATCTATTACAATGTGATAATAATAGAAATAAAGGGCAGGATAAATTTAATGTGCTTGAAACATCCCCAAATCACCTTGTCCCCAACCCCATCCTGGTCCGTGGAAAAACTGTCTTCCACGAAATTGGTCCCTGGCACCAAAAAGTTTGGGGACCTCTGCTATAAAAGCATTTCAACTTGTGACTGGTGTGGTGGCTCACGCCTGTAATGCCAGCACTGTGGGAGGCTGAGGCAGGCAGATCACGAGGTCAGGAGTTCAAGACCAGCCTGGCCAGCATGGTGAAATGCTGTCTCTACTAAAAATATAGAAAATTAGCCAGGCATGGTGGCACACACCTGTAGTCCCAGCTACTTGGGAGGCTGAGGCAGGAGGATTGCCTGAACCCAGCAGGTGGAGGTTGCAGTGAGCCAAGATTGTGCCACTGGACTCCAGCCTGGACAATGGAGCGAGACTCCATCTAAAAAAAAAAAAAAAAAAAAAGGCGTTTCAATTTGTAAAAAACTCCAAACACTCCCAACTTTGTTGGTGTGTTTTACTGAGTCACTCCTCACATTTGGCTTTCAATAAATCATTACCAAATTATTTCTTCCTGGCCAGCACTGTGGCTCATGCCTGTAATCCTAGCACTTTGGGAGGCTGAGAGGATCACTTGGGTTGGGAACTGGGAGGTTCACTTGAGCTTAGGAGTTCAAGACAAGCCTGGGCAACATAGTGAGACCCTGGCTATACAACAAATTAAAAAAATTAGCCGATGTGGTGGCATGCACCTGTAGTCCTGGCTATTTGGGAAGCTGAGGTGGGAGGATCACTTAAGCCCAGCAGGTTGAGGCTGCAGTGAGCTGTGATTGTGTCACTGCATTCCAGCCTGGGTGACACAGCAAGATCTTGTCTCAAAGAAATTTATTTATTCCTATACAGCCTTGATTTTGGTTGATAATGGAGCCTGTGGAATCAGGTTTGTACATCATTGAGCACCAGTCAAGAAGTGAGAGTAAGCATGCCTCATCATTTGCCAAGTGGTGATGGTTTTTGTCCTAACCAGCTCAGCACACTGAGCCTAAACCTCCCTCAAGACGGGCAATAGGGGCTTCCTAAGAGACTCACTTTTCCTGTGTGTGTTCCTTTGCAGAACTAATGACAGAGTCCACACCTCGAACTCACCGGCTTGGCTCAGCCTATTCCTTCTGGCTGAGTGAGCTCTGTCTGCACCTTGGAATGGATATTTGGGATTTTCCTGTCCATTCACACCACCTACTTGAAAATGCTTTTATTTTCTGACATTTGATCCTTCTCCCTAATCAGCAGGCCAGCCCTGCCCATTACTACTTCAAGTTCTTGTCTCTGGAGACCTCGGTGATCTAGAGCTCAGTCTCCCGTACTCACTTTCTAAGGGAAATGAGGAAATTTGAAGATTTCTGCTGAAACAAAAGGATGCTTTTGCACTGAAACACCCAATCCCAGACCCAGGTACCTGGCTTGCATCTGCTCATCACACACAGCAACATACTCCAACTGAGACTGAGCATGCTTCGGGGAAAGGCAGTCATGGCATAGTGTGCCTGGAGAAAGACCTGACCTATTTTGGGGTCATAGTTGGAAATTTATACTTACACAAGGGTCAACTAAGGTATTGTTGTGAGACTCCAGTATTCTCTGTTGAAAAAAACAGAAAGATTGGTATAATATTGAGTGTGATTTTTCATTAACCCCACATTCGAACAGACTTCTTTATTTTTAAGGGATTCATGCCACAGCCCTTCTTTTGTTTCATGTCTGCTTTTATGGGCCTGCACATCTAACTGAAGAATAAAAAAGCACTAAATTATGTGTCAGTGACAGTTTGGCCCAATGCAAGTGCCATTTCCTGGCTCTCACACCCCAGACAGGCCTTCATGAAGCCATTCAGGGAGACTGAGCTGGAGCAACTCTGTTGGTCCTCCTACTTCAAGGGGCCTGCAGGCATGTGTGTCTACATTTGGAAGTGTCCAGGTGCAGTGGCTCACGCCTGTAATCCCAGCACTTTAGGAGGCTGAGGAGGGCAGATCACAAAGTCAAGAGATCGAGTCCATCCTGGCCAACATGGTGAAACCCCGTCTCTACTAAAAATACAAAAATTAGCTGGGTGTGGTGGTGCGCTCCTGTAGTCACAGCTACTTGGGAGGCTGAGGGAGGAGAATCGGGAGGAGAATCGCTTGAATCCAGGAGGCAGAAGTTGCAGTGAGCTGAGATTGCACCATTGCACTCTAGTCTGGTGACAGAGCTAGACTCTGTTAAAAAAAAAAAAAAAAGAAAGTAAAAAAGAAAAAAAGGAAGCGTCATTCCATCCAGAGAGGCTGCAAACGGAATCAGCTGACTCTTCCTCCACAGCTCCCAGTGACCATAGGGCCCAGAGTCCTGGACGCCATGCAGGTGTCCCAGGAAGAACTCCACCCCTTTCTGCAGCTCTCCAGGAACACATCTTTGAAGACAAAATGCCTCCAAGATCCCCAGTACTGTAGCTCTTCTGAAGGTAAGCACCTCTCCACTTTCTCCTGAATCTTGAAAGCTTGCTTTGACCTAGTGTATCTGTGGGATGAAACAATGCCTGCTTCAGCTTTTACCTGTAGCTCAGGGCAGAGAGGCCTTAGACAAACCACTCAGTGTGATCAAAGGCACAATGATAGAAGAGGTGGCCATATTACCACCTGCCAGAAGCAATCTGGGCCTTTTGGCTAAGGTAAAGTATAGTATCTTAGTGGCCTAGAATCTCCCACTCCATCCCATTAGTTATTCACGCAGGTAAGACAATGAAGTTGACAGAATCCTTCAGGTTCATCCTTTTGGCCTCCTTTGTTTTGCATTATTTCATTGGCCAAGCCCATCACCTGGAGCTGTGCAGTGGCTCCACAGTTGTTTGTTGAATGGATACATAAGTGCATGAACAAATGAACACAATTGTCACTTGGGACAAGAGGTTTCTCCCTCTTCCACAGCCAGTAAATGATTAGCTTGGACTTTTACGTCTTATTATCCTGGAGTATCTCAGCTATTGCCAGCAGGTTTAACAAAAAACTTGTCAGCAGGAAAGCTGGCAACAGTAGCGCTTACCACGTGGTGCTGAGAGTGACACAAGTGTTAGAAACAAAGGGGAGGGGAGGGAAGATAGACCCTCCGGGGGGACCCTCTGAGAACGGAGGCAATTGCACCTCTAGAGCTGCGGGCCCTCAGGGAATGGAGAGAGGGTGCCTGTGATGAAGGCATGGGAGATGGCCAACTCAATGGATTAGCCCAGACTGCATCAGCCTTGACTGGCAGCTGGCAGACATGTTTGGTTTTAATAATTATATCAAATAATGTCTCTTTCTCCAGAAAACCCAGTGGATACAGAGCCTAGTCACCGAGTCTCTAGTCATAAAGCCAGTGGAGCAGGTAGCCCCAGGAGCCAACTTCGTAAAGATTGTGACATCCTGGTATGGCAGACATATCCAAGGTCACCCATGTCAGAGCTTATGAAAATCGAAGTTTTTCCATCTCCTTCCTTCACCAGGTTCTCTCTTATACCCAGCCTTGGAGAGGCCATGGAAGGCAATCAGTGATCTCGTCATTTCTCCTTAGAATACACATAGCATGAAGACCACTGGTCTGTGAACTGCACATACTACCTCCATGGAGGGAGAATTCACCTTCACAGATGGAAGTGAGGTCTCTGCAGCCCCTTTGCTGGGGCCAAAGTGCCTCCCCACAAAGGAAAAGATTTTCCAGGTCAGCAGCCTCACAGGGCACTCTGCCTCCCACTCAAAAATTTTCACCTGAAGAACTGTGTGTGTGTGTGTGTGTGTGTTTGTGTGTGTGTGTGTGTGTGTGTGGTGGAAGTAAAAGATAAAAGAAAAGGAGAGAATGTTTTTTGTTGTTTGCTTCCGTGGGTGACATATGGCTATATATGCATTTTAGGGGGAATTTTCCATTAGATCATGTGTAGTGACCATGGGATGTTTCTAGGGGAACTTTTGCTTCATATTTATTTCTAAAATGTAGAATCCAGAAAAACCAGTGAAAAACAACCAGTGTTTACGTTGAGGTTGCAAAGGCATATTGATTTGTGCATTTCAAACTCATGCTTATTTTTCCAATGCCAGCCTTATCTTTTATATTTAAAGAAAGTATGGCGCTGGGCATGGTGGCTCATACCTGTAATCCCAGCACTTTGGGAGGCTGAGGAGGGCAAATCACATGAGGTCAGGAGTTTGAGACAAACCTGGCCAACATGGTGGAACCCCATCTCTACTAAAAATACAGAAAAATAGCCGGGCGTCATGCCACATGCCTATAGTCCCAGATACTGGGGAGGCTGAGGCACAAGAATTGCTGGAACCAGGGAGGTGAAGGTTGCAGTGAGCCTAGATCGCACCACTGCACTCCAGCCTGGGTGACAGAACGAGACTCTCTCTTAAAAAAAAAAGAAAAAGTATGGCATTTAGCTCCTTTACTAAAAAACACATACAGTTCAGTTCTGTCTCTTAATCTATTTCTGAGGATTGTTTCTACCTCTATCTCAAATGCTTTGATGCTCAAATGAGCCCTGGACTTATACATTGAATAATGTTTGAAAGCAGCAACTGTAAAAGCATCGTGTTATAAAATCAAAATTTACAATGATGGGTCAATTTAAAGATTGCAAGGCGACAGAGATCGAAAATCAACAACATAATAGACGAGACATTGGCAGAAGGTCACTTGATCATCACCTTTTTTCTTGTGCTTGGTGGTTCTGGCAGAAATTCTTTCTAAAAAAGAAAAGAGAGGAATGATTTGATGGGTTCTTGCTTTCATTTTGTGAGCCTAGTATTTCTGACTGCCTTCCAGATACTCCTACCTGGATATCCCACTATTCACTCAAATTCAAGGTGTTTTCAGGGAAATTACTTTTCATGATTCTCCAGGGATTAAAGGAAGCATTTCAGTGCCTTGCTCTGGCCTCATGACTTCTACAACGAGTCCAGAGAATGCAGCCACCTCATTACTCCCAACTTCTTGACACACTGTGGAACAGATTTGCGTGCTGTCCTTTCTCTGTACGTAGAATGCCCCATTCTACATTTTTGCTAGTTGTTTGTCTTTTTAGGCCTACCTCAGTACAGGAGTTCCACCAAATGGTCCTCAACCTCAAAACCAGACATGACTTTCTCTTCTCCGAACTATTGTACCTCTTCCTGCAGGTGTCTCTTGTGAGAACACTGACACCCTGTCCAGGCCTGTAATTATGAAAGCACAGCCTTCCTTCTGGGAAAGGGCTCACACTTTGTATACCCTCCATAGCTTTAGATGTGGTTCAAGAAGTATTTGCTGAGCAAAGATCTTTTACTTTGTATATTAGTTATTTATTTATTTTTAGAGATGGGGTCTTACTGTGTTGCTCAGGCTGGAGTGCAGTGCAGTGCCTACTCACAGCCACAATCCTACTACTGATCAGCAGGGAAGTATTAACCTGCTCTGTTTCCAACCTGGACTGTTTCACACCTCCTCAGGCACTCTGGTGAGCCCCTATGTTGATGCTGAACTTAGCATGGACACCTGACTGGCATAGTACACTACAGCCCAGAACCCCTGGGCTCAAGTGATTCTCCTGCGTCTGTCTTCTGAGTAAGTGGGACTACAGACATATGCCACTGTGCCTGGCAGAGCCTTTTTTTTAATTGTCAGAGTGGCATGAGGAAGGACTGTCTGTGGGTGTGCAACAGAAAGCACTGTATTTGGAGTTGAAAGACACACGTTCATCTGCAGCAAAGACCCTGTCCCTGCTTTGTAATATCAAGGGGTTGATATGAGAAGCAATGTTACTTTGAAATGCAATTTATTTCTATTCTCTTATAAGAATAAGTTCGAGGTGGCCTATCCAAAGAAATCTTGTTGAAATGTTTTGTAATCCAGGAACTACATATATATATATGTATATATGTTAAATATATATGTTAAATATATGTGTGTGTGTGTATTTAACATTTACCTCCCCCCCAAATTTAAGACCTCTACTCCAACTTAAGTTACTTTCATATGACCAAATTCCACGGTTTATTAGTGGCAGAGTCAAGGCCACAATTTACTGTCCAACCTTCAAAAGGGTAAGAAATAAAGTACTTAGAGGATTACGCTGTAATATAAGCCAGCCAACGTAAGGTTCAGGTGAGAATGTTAGTAATAACGTATGCGTTGAGACCTTGGAAGAGGAAGTCATGACGAATTTCTGGACACTGAGAAATTCTGCTAAAGCTTGGTGTTAGTGAAGCGTGACAGCTAAATCCTTGATTTCAGCCATTTGCCGCTAGAATACCTCCATCAGGAACTTCAGGGTGTATCCACCGCAGCGTATACTTAGCTTCCAGTTTTTGGATGCTTCGCGGCCTCCTTCAATTTCGAATTCCCTGGGAGTGAACCACCTTCCATCCTTACTCTGTATACACTTCTTTGAGATTCCTGTAAGACCAAGGCAAGGTGAGCTCCCCAACTGTGAAAACACCTGAACTTGGCCCCCGCCATGCTGGGGTCTGGAGCCTCCCACTTGGGCTCAGGATCGTAGCAGTAGAGTCTGAATTTTCCTGTCAGACATCAGGGGTGTCATACCCAGCCTGAAGGAACAGAGATGAAGGGGAGTCTCTTTCGTGTGTGTACATTTCTTTGACCTTCATGCAATGAGACGAAATATTACTACCAACATTTACCTTTTCAACGTATTTTGCTATATTCCAAAGGTCGGAGGTGGGTGCAAAGGATGGCCCTAAAAAATGAGCAGAATTCCTTCTCCTCCCTCCTCTGAGACCTGATATAGAGTCAGCCTGAATTTCAGAGGTGGATGAAGGCACAAAGCCCTCTACCAATCTCTTGGGTCCCCAGGTGGCCCTGGGGAAGCTGTTACTACAGCCACGTCTGCCTTGTCTTGTACCATGTTGTTCAACCAGCAAATGACAATTATGTTTCACATTTTGAACTCATGGCTATTTTGTATTAAAAGTAATTATGGAAATGTTATATAGTGGGAGAAGTTAAATTACCCTTATGCAACATAGTCATGGGGCAAACATTTATATTTGTTGGTGCTCAAAGAACTATGTCGTGGGGAGGTGTCAGTCATGACAGATGAACGTTAGTTCTGTAATTTAACAACTGTAACTTGCAAAGTATTTTATGTCTGTTATTTTATTTTTTCTCATAATAATACAGTGAGGCAAGTTATATTATTTTTTTGTAGAGAAGGAAGTTCAAGGTTAGAGAGACCGAGCACCTGGCTGTAGATGAATCAGATGCTCTTGGTATAGCTGAAACTTGAATGCAGGTCTTCTGATTCTGAACCTTGTGATCTTACCATTTAGCAGCAGGCTGTACAGATGTTATGGGAATGGAGCTGTGAAAGTTAGTGCTGAGATTCTCAGATGTGTACATTTTCCACTCAAGTATTAAGGTGCTTGCCCTTGTAGTGGGTGCTAGTTGGATGTCTTGTGGGCCTTTCACATAGGGGAAAGGGGAGATGGCCTCATAGGCTAATGTTTTATGAATTTTAAAAGTGTGAAAATGTCATTGTTGTGCAAAACAGAGTTAACAGAGTGGGCCTGAGACTTTCCTTAGAGGGCCTATATGCAAGGTTGCCCATTGTCTATATGCAAGGTTGGCCACTGGCATTTAGGAATTTGGATTTTAAGAGAGTTCTATCATCCGCAGAACTCACTGTGGGCTAAACTGTTTGTAATAAACAACATGGATAGACATATTGTTTATCCATAAAGATAAAGCCCTTTAAAGATAAATCCCTCTTATTTATGGTTATAAACAAATGCAATTTATTTATATTCTCTTACAAGAATAAATTTGAGATAGCCTATCCAAAGAGATCTTGTTGAAATGTTGTGTCATCCGGGAACCACCTATCCTGATGTATTACTTTCAGACATATGTAAATAAATTGCATTTATCTATAACCGTAAACGAAGAAGAGGGCTCACTGTGCCTAAACTGTTTGCACAAATGATACGGTTTATGCTGAACACCCACTTTCCTTCTGGGAATCTGGAATTTTGGTATGTGCTAGGCAGAGGGCGCCTATGTGACTGGTAAAAACCCTGGACTCCTAAACTCAGGCTGGTTTCCCTGGTAGACAACATTTTACCTGTGTTGTCACAGTTTGTTGCTGCAATAATTAAATGACTCCTGCATGACTCCACGGGGAGAGGACTCCTGGAAGCTTGCTTTTGGTTGTCTCTGAACTTCACCCCAAGTGCCTTTTCCCTAGGGTATGTTTTGCATGCTTCACTCATAAACCCTAGTTGTAAATATGATGATGTCCCAAGTCCTAGGAAAGCTCCTAGCAAATCATCAAGCCTGAGGCTGGTTTTGCAGACCCTCAAAGCAGGTGTCTACTCCTAAACAGTATGCTATCTGTGTGGATATTTTCCTGCTGAAAATCGTAGATGGACCAGTACACTCACCTTGTTTGAATCGCTCCTTATATAGAGTTCCCTTCACGTCACCACAGGTCACAGGAAGTGCAGGTAGTTTAAAATTAATATTTTTATCTCTGGGAATTCTTGGACCTGCAAGGAAGCATTTTTTTTTTTTTTCCATTCCATCTTATTTTACAACTGTGCGTTGTTCCTCCCCACCTGTCTTGAGAGCTTTCTTTTATAATTTAAAATGTATTGGAGGAATTTCCCCCATGATTCAGTTACATTTCAAAGTCTTTCTTTCATGGCACATTAGATAGCTGTAGATACTGTTGTCCTCCACTCCACCCTCTAAAATACTACATAACAGCCTGGCGTGTGGTAGGATCTTAACTTTCAACCTGGTTGGTCATATCCACCTATCACACAATGATTTTCCTCCTGATGTTTTGAAGGGAGATTCCCACTCATATTATTGCTTTGACGTTATGTTAAAAAAACACCCTCAAATTTTAGTCTCATCTCCCCCATTCCAGGCATTGACTGAGGGGATAGAGGGCAGGATGGCAGAGCGGCACCTAATGGGGCACCTTTCAGGGTGGCATCTGTCTCCCTCTTTGCCAACTGCTTTGCTTCACTTCCCTTTCACTTGAGCTTTCTCTGCTGCTAAAAGGGAAGCTTGGTGTGGAGGGTTCTAGAAGAAACTGCACATTGAGAGAGGAAGGATAAAGAGAGATTGACGAAGGGTTCAAATATACCGTTAGATAGAAGAAATAAAACCTGGCATTTTCAATAGATCAATAGGGTGATTATAATTAAAATGAATTGATTATACATCTCAAAATAGCTAAAAGAGAATAATCTGAATGTTCCTGGCATCAAAAAAGGTAAATATTTAAAGTGATGGATATTCCAATAACTCTGATTTGATTATATGAAAGTATCAAATTATCACGCGTACCCCCAAGTATTTTTATCTATTATGTATTAATCAAGCAATCAATAAAAAAGAAAGTGCACATTGCTCAGGGAACCCTGCATGAGCACATGACTGGGGCACTGGGGATCTGGTTCCACTGAAGCAGGTGTTGAGGGTATTAAAATGAACTTCTGGTCAACGTTAAGTCTCCAGTACTAGCTCCATATGCCAATTAAGAAAACTGACTTATTACTCACAGTACAGAATATTAAATATTAAATGTTTAATTATGAAAAACATATCGATCATTTCTTTTTACCTCTTTTTCTTCTCCTTTTCAAAGGTCTATTGTTGGTTTTTCTTCCTGAGAAAGTTGAAACACAACATAAATATTTCTTTGCGTTGCAAATAGTAGTGTTTTACAAAACCACTATTCAAATGCAACTTTTCAGGATCCTGTCTAGAACTTAAAGAAAAACATTAAATGCCTAGATCAGGAGTTGGGAACTTTTTTTGTAAAGGGACGGATAGTAAGTAGTTAAGGTTTTTCAGTTCATAACCTCTGTTGTGACTACTCAGCTCTGTAGTTGTGTCATCAGTGCATCAAAGGATGCGACTGTGGCTGTGTTCCAGTACAACTTTATTTACGGTCAGCTGGATAGATTTGCCTTGTAGGTCACAGCTTGCTGACCTCTGATCTAGACTTGATTACAACCATGATGCTTAACTGAGATGCATCCTATATTTCTCTATTAATATCTCCAAATCATTCCAAATAAATTTGAAACAGTATTTTACCTGCTTCCCAAGCAACAGGGGGAGAGCAATAAAGAAGTTGAACACGTATTCAGTGCTTGTTGTAGGCCAGGAGCTATCGTTAGATCTTTGCCTCTATTAACCGACTTCATCTTTACAACAAAATCTATTAAATAGGCGCTAGTACTATCCTCACTTTACAGATGAGGAAACTGATGCTCAGAGAGAAATATATAAATTAAAGTGTTGACAATTTTCTTTGGGAAAGAGTTAGAGATAAAAAGTAGCAACATAAGGTCTCAAGACAGACCTCATGGTAGACTCTACCAGTCAGATGTGTAAACTTGGAAGGTTTTGTACTGAAAATGGTGAGGAAAATGACCAAGGACTTAAAAACTAACCCAATGAAGGCTATTCAAGAGGAACTTGTAGAAATTAAGGCACAAGGCCTAAGAGTTGTATTGTTAAAGATAGCACACAGGATTGACTTAAAAGATATCTCGGGGCCAGGTGCGGTGGCTCACGCCTGTAATCCCAACACTTTGAGAGGCTGAGGTGGGTGGAGTTCTGAGGCTGAGGTCAGGAGTTCAAGACCAGCCTGGCGAAACTGTCTCTACTAAAAATTTAAAAAAAAAAAAAAAATAGCTGGGCACGGTGGTATGTGCCTGTAATCCCAGCTACTTGGGAGGCTGAGGCAGGAGAATTGCTTGAACCCGGGAGGCAGAGATTGCAGTGAGCCAAGATCACGCCACTGTACTCCAGCCTGGGCGGCAGAGGGAGACTCCATCTCAAAAAAGAAACAAACCTTGGAAGCATGTATCTATGTGTTGATCGATGTGTCCAAACCAAGAGCCAGTCATTCCAGATGTATGTTTAGATCTGCATCATTCTAACGTGTTTGCTGAAGTCAGGGATGCAGAGTGGATGCTCTTTCTTTCTAAAGGTCTGTGCCCATTATTCTGTGCCCATGGCTGGTATCATAGGGTGCTGATTTGGGTCCTGCAAGCCCCAGGAGAAAACCTCCTCCAGATACTCAATCGTGCATGCTTCTTCCTTTGAGCAAATTATGACCAGATTAGGTTGGAAAGGCATCTTTCCTTCAATCTAGCATAAAGAAACCTTGGGATTGATGATACTGTATTTTCTGGGCCTCTGACATAATAATTACTTAGAAGTTTTTTTTTTGTTGTTGTTGTTGTTTTGTTTTTTTTTTTAAACTTCATCAAGATAAAAATGGTACCATCAGACATTTACTGATAATTTACATGCCAAGAGGAATTATATCCCGAGAAAAAGCATGCTCTACTGCACAAGATGTTGCCCTTAGGAAGTTTATTAAAATATTACAGAGACACATGGAGAGGAGAGATTACTAAACCTGCATAAAGGAATTATAAACTTGGCTATTGAACTAAAAGTGCCCCCCCTACTTTTTTTTTTTTTTTTTTTTTTTGAGACTGAGTCTTGCCCTCTTGCTCTGTTCCTCAGGCTGGAGTGCAGTGGCACAGATCTCGGCTCGCTGCAACCTCTACCTCCCGGGTTCAAGTGATTTTCCTTCCTCAACCTCCTGAGTAGCTGGGATTATAGGTGTGCGCCACCACACCCAGCTAATTTTTGTATTTTTAGTAGAGGTGGGGTTTTACCATGTTGCCCAGGCTGGTCTTAAATCCAGGGCTCAAGCAATCCACCTGCCTCAGCCTCCCAGAGTGCTGGGATTACAGGTGTGAGCCACCACACCCAGCCTGAACTAAAGGTTTAAAAGAAACATGTAAAATGTGGAAACATGGAGACCTCAAGGAAGTAGATGAAGCTTTCTTACCACTCCTTGCTTGTCTCTCAGAAAAATTTGCTCTAGATCAATCAGTTTCAAAGACCATGATTGTGCCAAGTGTGGTAGTTGATGCGGTTGCCACAGTAAAATGTCATCCACACAGGGGTGGCTCTGTGTGGGACTCTCCTGTCACTCATGATGATCAAGTTGCAGGTGCACCCAGGAAAACTGGCCACTTCTAACTCTTCTCTCCTCCTTCCCCCAACTCTCCCTTCTCCCCACAGTTCCATCAAAAGACACTTGTTCTCTGTCTCCTTTCTTCTTTCCCATAAAGTGGTCAAACTGGAGATCCAGCTCTGGCCATAATCTGGGTCTGTTCAGCCCTAGCCATTATTGGTCAATATATATTCTCTTGCTCTCAGTTTATCTCTGTTTAAATCCTTCTTGGACTGCAGGGATTTCCTTTCAATCAAAACCTATTGAGGGCAAACAACTTCAGGGCAAAACACCAGAAGTTAATTGCACTGCTTCCCAGCTTTTGGCATGGAGACATCTGGGCTGAGGAGGAGATCATGTGTAATAAAGTGCTGCAGAACTGTGCTTTCCAGTGGTCCTTTGTGTGTTTGCTGGCTCCAGCACCTCACTACAATTGTATATCCAGGCAGTCAAATGCCTGGAGACAGTAGGATTTAATTGTTCTTGGGTCTATCAGTTTTAATTCTATATTAACCATGTAAAATAATAATATGGTCAGAAAAAATTGAAAGTTATTTAAAAATATATATATTTTTTCACAACAGGGACTAATCATTTTTGGCAAAAGAATATATCACCATGTTTAGGTGATTCTTTGGTTATCTCAGAGTATTAGCAGAAGCCTCAACATCCAAGAATGCCACAATAGGAGCCCAGTACTTCTATATTCTAAGGCAAGATGCCAGTCTATCTGCAAAGAACATGGTAGGGGGTTGGGAGCCTGGTTCTGCCAGCATCAGCCTTTCCCACCTTCAGGCCTTATGAGAGAGGCCACATTTCTCTGGAGAGAATTGTCAGACACCTTCTCTCAAGCCAAATGAGAAGGTTTAAAGACATCTAAGCAGGAGATGGACCTCTGTCCCTGGGAATGTCAGACTCACCGCTGAGAAGCACAAAGGTGAAGGTCATGGCTAGTTGGGTCAAGGGTGCCAGAGGGCTGAGCTGGGAGCCAGCAGGGAAATAATGAAGAAGCATGATCCCCATGGTCTGGTGCAGACCTTGTGGTTGGGAGCTGGACTGGGTGTTTTTAAGAGATACTCTCACGTGGATTGTGTATCTTCTAGAAGGACCATCCAGTGTCTTAATTCCCAAGCAGGTTGGCCACCACCAACTATGGAGAGGCAGTTGCATACACTGCTTCTGCCATTCTAGTGGGGGAATTCATAGCCAAAGGATATATATATATATATATATCTCACACACACACACATATATAAGTATGTATGTATATAGAGAGAGTCTATATGAAGTTATGTGGCCAGAGAAAGAGTTTTAGGTGTCAAAACTCTTTTAGATGACAAATTTGTCTGTAAATTTGAGCAGGATAACAACAGGGCAGTCTGGCAGGAGATGGTGTCTGTCTTCTCTGTTTGCCTCCTCCTTCATGTACCCTTCTCCTGGCTGAAGGAGCAGCTCAGCAGAGTTCCAGAATCATCTGCAAATTGCACAGGGAGGATGCTTTGCATTTCAGAGCCTCTATGTGGTAGAGGTGGGGACTGAAGAGTTGACTTAGTAGAAACAGGTGTAAAGGTCTTAAAATGAACTTGAGGATGCTGAGCTGCTGTTCCAACCCTTCCAGTCAGTGACACTAGGGAAGAGGCACAGTCTACGAGGGCTCTGTGCTGATGATGCTGATGATGCAGGAGAGGGGGCTGTCTATGGTTTTTACTGAGTCCTGTAGGAGATCCACGGAATGAGAAGCCACATGGGAAGCTGGGATGGGCCTTGGAGGGCAGCCAGTCTAGCCTAACTGACCTAATTTCACTTTACAGGTAAGTAAACTGTAATTTACTTGGGGCAGACCCAAGTCCATGCAATTACCACATGGTGATAAGCAAGAGGAGGGACAGCTACATCACTTGTGAATTACACGGGTTCTGTCTGTTTTGTTTTTGTTTCTATGCCAACAACTATTTCTGGCCTTGAAAGTTATCAGTTCAGCAGAGGAAGCACTGCAGGCAGCTCCTGGGCCCTGGGGTCAGGTTGCAGATTCATCACCTAGCTGCTTGTTTGTGGTGTTATCATCTTTTTCTCCCTAACATATCTTGGAACTTGACTAAATCTGATATATTTCTCAACAGTAAGTACAGCGACATAAAGCAATTAGGAAAAAAATGTTTTTTACTAAGAGCATGAACATTTACACATTATTTATTTAAAATGTATTTTTTTTTTTTTTTACCTCTTGGTTGCCGTCTTTCCTTTGGGACTTTGTTATTCCGAGTTAAGTGTTTTCTATGTCTGTGTTTCTTTCTCCCTGAGAAAATAGGAAAATATAAATATGGATGGTGTAAAAAACTCACATTTATATAATAGTGCTCTCGAAAATTTTATTTAGCTATAACTTTTCCAGAGCTTAACACACAAAGAAAAATACGTAACACATAGCCTTGCAATGACCAAGCCTTTGGTGGTTAACCTGGGTTCATCCTAGATTTTCTTTTCCTTACTGTGACATTAATCCAAATTCATTTGTCCCCCTACATTAATTTTAAAAGGAACTTAAGACAGTTTCATTTATATCCCAAAGAATACTGTAAGAATAATAATAATGATGAGGGCTAAGACTTAAGTGCTTATTATGTGCTAGACATGAACACAAGATATGTACATCTACTAATTCATTTATGAGATAGAGACTTTTACTCCCCCTATTACCAATGAAGAAACTTCAGCATACAGATATTGCAAAATGAAGTGAAGCATTGCAGATTTCCTCTGGTTGTGAGGAAATCAATGGCAGCAACGCAAGAATTTGGATTGTCCCACTCATTTTGATGATGAGACACCAGCCACCATCTTAGCCCTCAGTGAAGGCGTTGAGGCTGAAAATACAGTGAAAATGACCAAAGACCTTATTCACATAGGTTTGGCCAAAAAATTAGGATCTAAGGAACTAACCAAGAGACTATTGCCCAAGGGGAATTTGTATAGAGATTCAAGTCCCAGAAAGCCTCGTGGTTAGGACTAACAAAGGGTTGATTGAAACCCTATCTCGGGAGTATGCTGTTAGATTCAGCAGGTGATGGGGGTAGGTAGAAAGACAGTGAGGTATGTGCAGGAGCATCTCATGAGTGCCATGTTTAAAGGTGCTGATCTCTCAGGCAAGGCCATAAAGTTCCTCTCCTCTCCTCTCCTGTCCTCTCCTCTCCTCTCCTCTCCTCCCCACCCTCCCCTCCTCTCCTTCCCTTCATCCTTCCCTCCCTCCCTCTTTCCCTTCCCATGCTGTCTCCCTGTATTTTTCTTTCCTTTCTTTCTTTCTATGACCTGGCCACAATTTGAACTTGTCCAGCCATAGATATCTTAGACAAACAAAGACTCTTTTTCTGTCCCTCTATGTCTTTGGTCCTGTTGTAGTCGCCTGTCATCAAAGTCCATTGAGGACAAACAAATTAGAGGTGTACAAGTAGTTTAGTTCAGTTTACTTGAGTTCTACTTACAAGGAGATTTGGAGCTTAAGATCTGCTAATACTATGGAGCTCTTGTGACTTCCTTTGTAATTATTCTATGCAAATTGTCTTGCTCAAATACCCCACAGGAAGTAGTGTGGCAATTCTTGGATTTCCTATCCAAGTGCTAACAGTTAACATCATGTTCTTGCTATAGAAGTTGAGTAACGTGCTCCTCCCTCCTTAAGGCAACTGAGAAGACTACAACTTCAAGGTAACTGATCTTCACCTTCAGGAGTTTGAGGAAGGCAGAGACATTTATAGACTCAATCCTAGAATGTCGAGAGGGTCTGAAGAGTCGTAATTGCTATAGGTCTCCCTGGGGAAAGGAGGAGCTCACTTAGTTCTTCTTGAGAGATATTCTGTCTGGGAGAATCACTTGGGTGGATGAGTTGACCCCAGCAGGAGTGTAGTGTGGACCTCCCAGAGCTGGGAGACTGAGGGAATTGGTAAGCAGCCAGTTGAAGTTCCTGAATTAGGGGAACTTCAGTTGAGAGGTTCTCTCTAAGTTGAGTGTCTCTGAAGAACTCACAAATGAATATGGCTCATGCATCCACCAATATTTCGGAGACACAAAAATCTGTAAGGCTGGTGCAAAAGTAATTGCAGTTTTTGCCATTCTTTTTTTTTTTTTTTAAGGCAAAACCCACAATTACTTTTGCACCAAGCTATATAGTATGAGGGCCATTCCTGCTCCTGTCCACTTCTTTCTCCCCCTCCTCCTAGACCCAAATTAGTTGAAAGCAATAGACACTCAGTGGAGTTGGAGAGGAAGTGTGGATGAAAGTAAATGCTGACTTCACCCAGCTTCCTACCACATGGTTTCCAGTTTTAATATTATATCAGCTCAGGCTTTTAAATATTAAATGAGATATTACTGCTAAAAGGGACTAGCATAGCTCTAGGGCTTACCTAAGACTTCATTCATGGGCAAGAAAATAACTATTTGAGAGAACAGGTTTGAAAAGTAAGTAGAAGGAATAAATGTGATTTCTGCTTAGATTTAACAAATCCAAGTATTTTAATAAAATAGTTAAGGTAGAGAGGCTTCCATAGAAACTGGTAAAAACATGAAGGAAGAAACATCTTAGACCTGGGTAAGTACAAACTAGAATATAACCAAGATGACAGATAGGTATAGAAATAAAAATGACAGAGATGCTGGAAATATTACATGTATATACTTACTTATAGTAGAGTTATATTTAAAGTTATATTTGAAAATAGTTATATCATATATAAACATATGTATCTATGTGTATGAGTGACAGACAGAAATAATTAGAAATCATGGGAAAAAATATATCCAAATATGCTTTAGCTCTAGAGGAAAAAGTGCTGCCATCTCTACAGTGCCATATCAACTTGCCAGAAATATTTTACAAGATGTAAAACAAAAAAATTAAATAAGGTATGCAAGAGAAACATAAGTAGAATGGGAGAGGGAAGGAAATAAAGGAGAGACAAAGAAGAGGAAGAAAAGGAGGAATGCAATAAACATAAAATCCACAAGATCTGATGAAGAGAATGGAGTGTCACATCTTTTTTATCTTCAAGTGCCCAGTGTGGCATATGCTCTGATTGAGTTTGGTTCACTGCCTGTAATCCCAGCATTTTGGGAGGCCGAGGCAGGTGGATCACCTGAGATCAGGAGTTCAAGACCAGTCTGGCCAACATGACGAAACCCTGTCTTTACTAAAAATACAAAAATTAGCCTGTAATCCCAGCTACTTGGGAGGCTGAGGCAGGAGAATTGCTTGAACCTGGGAGGCGGAGGTTGCAGTGAGCTGAGATCGTAGCACTGTACTCCAGCCTGGGTGACAGAGGAAGACTCCATCTCAAAAAAGAAAATAAATAAATAAATAAAATAAAATAAAATAAAATAAAATAACCCCGTGTTTCTCAGGCTTCAATCTGATGTGGCACCAGTACTCTGGCTTCCATGTAATTGATTCAAGTTATCTCTGTCTATTTCTTCATGTTCTGTCCCGGACTGTATTAGTTACAACACACCTTTCTAACACTTCCTCCTGTTGCCTCATTTCCTAATCAGGCCTGGCATGTCTCTGCCCACATAGCTCTGTAATGCCTCTCAGCTTCCAGCTCCTGTGCTTGCCAAAGAGTCTCAGGTGACAAAAAGGCTGCATCTGAATCAATGGAGAGTCTGAGTTTTCCTCTTTATTTAAGGGAATCAGTGACTTTGGAGGCAAACATGAAGGGCAAGTAGGCATATTGCTATTTGTCACCCATAATCATTCCTTCTTCCATAAGAATAGACTTACAGCTGAACCAAAGACTGCCTGGCCAGCGTTACATTTCTCAGCCTCACTTTGCAGCTAGCCCTGGCCATGTAACCAAGTTTTGGCCAATGGAATGTTGGCAGAAGACTTCTGAGTCTTTCTATTAAAATAAACAAATGGCTGGTTCTTTTGTCAGTTTTTGGTTTTTTTCTTTCCCACTGGTTGGGAGACAATGTCGACCAGATCAGCCCTTGTGGACCCACTGTTGGAAACCTCATGTCAAGGAAGGCAGACTGCCTACCACTTCTGGGCTCTTAGATTATTTGTTTTAAGCCACTGTATTTTGGGATCTGTTTGTTACAATGACTTAGCTGGTACTCTAAATAATCCATTGGGTCTGAAGCTACCATGGCCCATAGGAGATTTTGAGGCTGCAGCAAGGATGGGGTCTGGCAGGAAGAACAGGACCACAGCGAGTTCAAAGGAGTAAATCCCCACATTTCTTCTTACCTCTTTGGAGACCATTTACTTTAAGTATATGTTTTCTCTTTTTTCCTGCACACAGAAAAGAAAGAAAATAATCCTCTATAACTATAAACAAAGATTTATACACTTTTTATGTCAATAGTTTCCAAGTATTTAATTTTGTTTTCCTTCCACTTTTGTGAGGCTAAGTCCTTGGCTACCAACATCCCATCTTGGTTATTGTCACACAGAAACCAGTAACCACAAAGCAACCTGTTTTCACACAGTGTTAGTCATTTACACTATGCTTGTACATATCCATATGTGGTCTTATCATTCACAATAAAGAAAGATTTTTAAGTAACTGAAATCAAGCAGAAGGTGACAGGAGCAGCAGAAGAGTACCAGGAGGGTCAAACGATAGTAGGTCTAAGAAATCACCAGTGATGGCCGGGCACAGTGGCTTGTGCCTGGAATCCTAGCACTTTGGGAGGCCAAGGTGGGTGGATCACTTGTAGGCCAGGAGTTTGAGACCAGCCTGACCAACATGGCAAAATCCTATCTCTACTAAAAATACAAAAATTAGCCTGGAGTGGTGCCATGCACCTGTAGTCCCAGCTACTTGGGAGGCTGAGGCAGGATAATTGCTTGAACCTGGAAGGAGATTGCAGTGAACTGTGATCGTGCCACTGCACTTCAGTCTGGGCGATAGAGTAAGACTCCGTCTCAATAAATAAATAAATAAATAAATAAATAAATAAATAAAATAAAAAAGAAAGAAATTACCAGTGAAGTACACTTTGTGGAATTCAGAGGCATGCTTTGAATAGCTAAGGCTGTAATTGTGTTTATAACAGCCAGAACTTAAGAAATAAGTAGGAAAAAAATCAGAAATGAAGACAAATTTAGAAGAAAAATAAAGGAGATTAGGCATTTCAGAAATTAAAGTGAAGGACATATATTACAGAAATAGGAAAAGGAAACAAGAAATTTTAAAAATGATTAAACAAATTAGAAAACAAGCTTGGCGCAGTGGCTCACCCCTGTAATCTTAGCACTTTGGGAGGCTGAGGCAGGTGGATCACCTGAGCTCAGGAGTTTGAGACCAGCCTGGCCAACATGGCGAAACCCCGTCTCTCTTACAAATAAAAAATTTAGCCGGCATAGTGGCACATGCCTGTAGTCCCAGCTACTTGGGAGGCTGAGGCAGGAGAATCGCTTGAACCTGGGAGGCGGATGTTGCAGTGATCTGAGATGACTCCACTGCACTCCAGCCTGGGTGACAGAGTGAGACACTGTTTCAAAAATAAAATAACATAAAATAAAAATTAGAGAGAAAATAATCAATGTAAGTGAACAAATTATTGGAGTTCCCAAAGCAGAAAATCAAAATAATAGAAGAAATACCTGATGAAAAAAGTTTGTGGAATTATAATATAAATTGAAATGTATACATCAAAAGTACCTATCTCTTCACCCTGTCACAGAGAAATTGACCCAAAATAGCCAACACTGAGATATATTTCCAACACATTTATTGGACTTTAAAGATAAAGAAATAATTGAATGGGCAGTGTAGGCAAAAAGTTATTTTCAAGGGAGACTTATTGGCCACAAAATTTTCCACAGCAACTTTTAATGCCACAGGAAAGTGGAGAAAAACCTGTAAGATATTTCTAGAAATAAAGAATGAGCAAACTATTTTTCAGGTATAAATAACACAAACAAATTTGAACAGAAAAATTCTTGGAATATAGTTTCTGAGTCCTCATTACTAGAAGATATACTTCAGCAAACTAAGGTAGAGCTGAAAATTCTGGCAAAAGGACCAAAATAAAAGTAGGCAGTAGGGTGACAGATGAGAATATGAAGTGCATATGCTCTGACAATATAGGAATAGTATAATAACAAAAAATATGAGGAGAAGGGTTAGGTGCAGTGGCTCATGCCTGTAATCCCAGCACTTTGGGAACCATAGGTGGAAAGATCACTTGAAGCCAGAAGTTTGAGACCAGCTTAGGCAACCTAGCAAGACCTCATCTCTACAAAACATTTGAAAGAATTAGCAAGCTATGGTGGTGCACACCTGCAGTCCTAACTGCTCAGGAGGCTGAGGTAAGAGGATTACTGGAGCCCAGGAGTTAGAGGTTGCAGCTAATATTGCATCACTGCCCTCTAGCATGGGTGACAGAGTGAGACCCTGTCTCAAACAAAACAAAACAAACAAACAAACAAACAAAAAACAGGGAAGAGAAAGCAAAAATAGGCTGTAGAGCAAGTTCTTTGTTTATTTTAAAAGTAGGAGTCCAAAGGTATTGTGTTGATGTAAAGCAAGGTTAATGGCTGAAAGGTAAACATGGTAATGTCATGGCCTAAAATTGGGTGGGAGAGGAAAAAGACTGGACAATGGAATGGCACACAGGCTGATTTTATAAATCTTCTGGGTGGGAAACTAAAGGGTACTGTCTAAAATAGAGCACCAAAGGAATCATATAAAGGTAATCCTAAAAGTAATCACTAGAACAAAATGCAAACCTTCTTTAAATTGGAAGTATACGCTCCTAACCACTGAGAAAATACGAAATGAGTGTGGGCTGCTTACCCATTCATTTATTTCAAGGGAAAGACTCAGAGGTGGCTCATATATCTTCTGCTCATGTGCCGTTGGCTAGAACCTAATGACATGGTCACAGTGAACTGTAAGGAAGGCTGAAAGTATAATGATATGGTCTGGCTCTGTGTCTCCAAACCTCATGTCACATTGTAATCACCATGTGTTGGGGGAGGGGCCTGGTGGAAGGTGATTGGATCACAGGGGCAGATTTTCCCCTTGCTGATCTTATGATAGTGAGTTCTCACAAGATCTGGTGGTTTAAAAATGTGGCACTTCAGCAGCCAGCACTGGAACTCACAACTGCCTAAAATGCTAAGTTCCCTTGGCAGGGGAAGCGTGGCATCCATCTCTACAGCTCCAGGCCATGCTTTTCCTCAGCTGGAGCAAGGGAGACTGGACGGCTTGGTCCCAAGACGTGTCCCCCAAAGCCCAACACACTGGCTGTGGCCTACTGCAGCCAGAGTGCCTCTTCAGGCCTGACCCTGACTCATCCTTCCTCACTGGATGGGGCTTCCCTGCAGGAACTCCAATAACTCCAGCCAGAGGTTCAGGGACAGAACCCATATCTCCTTGGGCCTGAGCCCATAGAGAAAAGGCCACAGTCTCCATGAACCAGAAGACTTAGCCTTTCCTCCTGGTAGTTCTGAGGAATCCGGGCAGCCCAGACAACTTGGTTTCTGGTTTCCCCCCAGCAAAGCACACCTCCTACACCAAGGAACAGTCATTGTGCTTCATTGAATAAAGCCTCCAAGAAATATGGGACTTTATAAAAAGACTAAACCTACGATTGATTGGAGTACCTGAAAGAGATGGGAAGAATGGAAACAAGCTGGAAAACATACTTCAGGATATTATCTAGGAGAACTTTCCCAACCTAGCAAGGCAGGCCAACATGCAAATTCAGGAAATACAGAGAACACCACCTAGATAATCCACGAGAAGGTCAATCCCAAGACACATGATCATCAGATTCTCCAAGGTCCAAATGAAGGAAAGACCAGAGAGAAAGGCCAGGTCACCTACAAAGGGAAGCCCATCAGACTAAACAGTAGACCTCTCAACAGAAACTCTACAAGCCAGAAAAGATGGGGTGCCAATATTCATTATTCTTAAAGAAAAAAATTTTCAGTACAGAATTTTATATCCAGCCAAACTAAGCTCCATAAGTGAAGGAGAAATAAAATCCTTTTCAGACAAGCAAATGCTGAGGGATTTTGTTACTACTAGGCCTGCCTTGCAAGAGTTCCTGAAAGATGCACTAAATAAATAAAGAAAAAGCCAGTACCAGCCGCTGCAAAACACACTAAAATATAAAGACCAATGACACTGAAAAATCTGCATCAACTAGTGTGCAAAATAACCAGATAGCATCTTGATGACAAGATCAAATTCATGCATAACAATACTAACCTTAAATGTAAATGGGCTAAATGCCCCAATTAAAAGATACAGACTGGCAAATTGGATAAAGAGTCAAGACCCATTGGTGTGCTATATTCAGGAGACCCATCTCACCTGCAAAGACATGCATAGGCTCAAAATAAGGGAATGGAGGAAAATTTACCAAGCAAATAGAACGGAAAAAAAAAAAAAAGCAGAGGTTGCAATCTTAGTCTCTGACAAAACAGACTTTAAATCAACAAAGATCAAAAAAGACAAAGAAGGGCATTACATAATGGTAAAGGGAAAAATTCAACAAGAAGAGCTAACTATTCTAAATATATATGCACCCAATATAGGAGCACCCAGATTCATAAAACAAGTCCTTAGACTCCCACATAATAATAGTGGGAGACTGTAACACCCCGCTGTCAATATTAGACAGATCAATGAGACAGAAAATTAAGGATATTCAGGACTTGAACTCAGTTGTGGATCAAGTGGACCTAATAGACATCTACAGAACTCTCCACCCTAAATCAACAGAATATATATTCTTTTCAGTGTCACATGGCACCTATTCTAAAATCGACCACATAATTGGAAGTAAAACACTCCTCAGCAAGTGCAAAGAACTGAAATCGTAACAGACAGTCTCTCAGACCACAGCACAATCAAATTAGAACTCAGGACTAAGAAACTCACTCAAAACCACTCAATTACATGGAAATTAAACAACCTGCTCCTCAATGACTCCTGGGTAAATAATGAAATTAAGGCAGAAATCAGGAAGTTCTTTGAAACTAATGAGAACAAAAAGACAATGTACCAAAATCTCTGGGATACAGCTAAAGCAATATTAAGAGGGAAATTTATAGCACTAAATGCCCACATCAGAAAGCTAGAAAGATCTAAAATCGATACCCTAATATCACAATTAAAAGAGCCAGAGAGACAAGAGCAAACTCATCCCCAAAACCAGGAGCTGGTTATTTGAAAAAATTACCAAAATAGACAGACTGCTAGATAGGCTAATAAAGAAGAAAAGAGAGAAGAATCAAATAGACACAATAAAAAATGATAAAGGGGATATTAC